GTCTCAAAAAGACAAAAAAAAAAGTCAACACTCAAAAATCAATTGAATTCCTGTACACAAATAACAAACTCATTAAGACAGAAATCAGGAAACAACACCTTTTACATCTAAAAAAAATGAAATACCTAGGAATCAATCTATCAAAGGATGTAAGAGAACTCTACATTGAAAACTACAGTACTCTGAAAAGGAGATTGAAGAGGATATTAGAAAATGGCAGGATATCCCATGCTCTTTGGCAGAAAGAACCAATATAGTGAAAATGGTCATAATCCCAAAACTGTTATGCAGATTCAATGCAATACCAATACAAAATTCGAGAAAAACAATCCTAAAATTCATCTGGAATCAGAAGAGACCTCTAATTGCAAAGGCAATCCTGGGCAACAAAGACAAGACTGGGGTCATCAAAATCCCTGACTTGAAATTACACTATGAAGTTACTGTGGTAAAAACTGGTTCTGGAAAAAAGGTATTTAAAAGATTCAAAAATCAGTGAAACAGATTAGAGGAAGCAGAAAACAACTCCAGACACATTAAGCCACCTTATCTTTGACAAAGGTGCCAAATGCGTTCACTGGAAAAAAGATAGCCTTTTTAATAGACAGTGCTGGAAAAACCGGCTCTATAACATGCCAAAGATTAAAACTGAACCCATATCTTTCATCATGCACTAAGCTAAACTTGGACTGAACCCATATCTTTCATCATGCACTAAGCTAAACTTGGAATTGATTGAAGATTTTTTTTTGGTGGCAGGGATTGACCTCATAACTTTGTGCTTGCCAGGTAGGCACTGTGCACTGGGTTATACCCCTGGCCTCTAGAGCTATAGCCCCTGTCCTAAGATCTTAGTTTATTAAGACAGAAACATTAAGTATGCTGGAAGATAGAGAAATTAAAACTCTTGAAGACATTGGTGTAGGCCAAGTCTTTATAAACAAAACCTAGATTGCACAGGTACTATTTCAAAGAATCAACAACTGGGATCTTATCCTATTGAAAAACTTCTGCACAACCCAAGAAACCACCAACAGAGTGAAGAGACAACCCACAGTGTGGGAGAAAATGTTTGCCAGCTGTCCTTCAGACAAAGAATTGCTATTGAGAACATATAAAGAACTCAAAAAAATCAGTCCTCCAAAATTTAAAGACTCAGTCAAAAAATGGACACCTGAGATAAATACCCACTTCTCGGATAAAGAAATATGAGCAGTAAATAAATACATGAAAAATTTCCCAGCATCACTAATCATTGGGGAAGTGCAAATTAAAACAATGCTGAGATTCCACCTTCCCTAGAAAGAATGGTTATTATCAAGAAATCAAGCAATAACAAATGCTGGAGGGGCTGTGGGGAAAAAGGAACCCTTCTCCACTGTTGGTAGGGAAGTAGACTGGTGCAACCATTGTGGACATCAGCGTGGAGATTCCTCAAAAAACTAGGGCTAGATGTTCTACTCAACCCAGCTATTCCCCTTCTGGGTATCAACCCAAAAGAATTAAAAAATCATACCACAGTGATATATGTACACCCATGTTTATAGCAGCACGATTTTTAATAGCTAGATTTTGGAAACAGTTTAAATGTCCATTGACTGAGGAATGGTTAAAAAAGCTTTGGTATTAGCCAGGCATGGTGGCTCATGCCATATTCCCAGCACTTGAGAGACTGAGGCAGGAGGATCATTACAAATTTGAGACCAGTTAGCCAGAACTACATAGCAAGACCCTGTCTTTAAAAAAAGAAGACGTGGTATTTTTATACTATGGAGCACTACTCAACTATAAAGAAGGATAAATTGGAGACTTTTATAGGTAAATGGATGCAACTTTAGACCATACTCATCACTCTCAGATCAAGAAAACTCATGCAGATGACTGTTGAAAAGTCTCCACAGATGAATCAGCCCCCCTAAAGACAACTCTGAGGAGACAACACACAGAAAGCCCTGCTCTTGTCACTCTAGATGGTGACAGGTCTATGCACAGCTGAAGCCGAACAAACTCAGTACCCTGGAGCACCTTTCCTGAATAATTAATATTTTGTTACCCAATTTGGTTTCTAATATCCTACCTCCCGATAGTCTCACGATTTGCCTTAGGATTACAGTCTGTATCCCCAGTGTTGTAACCTAGTTTTAACCATTGTGCCTCATTTCTGTTTTGTATGCGCCGCTCAGCCACTCCCCTTCCTATCTTTCTAGGTTAAGTTTCAATTTCCTGAGAAAGCTGTAAAAGCCTTAGGTATCAGTTTCCTGTAACCCCCTCCCCTACCCCTCATCCGGCTATCTGTAATAAAATGGGCTGTTCTTTAAGAAATGCTCTCCTCTGTAAAAATTGTAAAATCTTACCTAATTGATATGTTAGCCATTGTTGCCCTCTACAAATAACAGATGTGGTGCTAAAATAAGCTAACAGGGGTTGTTAATTACTGCTAAACTTCTCTATTCTCTGCTGAGGGAAAAAAAGATGTTTGCCCAATCTAAACTTGCTTGTATGCAGGGAGACTTGCCTGTTAGCCCAACCCTTATCTGAACTTTGCTCTTCCCAATGTAATCACCGTGTTCCTGTCCTGCAGTGTGCCCCAGGCCCCCTCCTTGCATTGTGAGACCAGTAGCTGTTTGCAGTTTTACAAGATAAAAGCCCTGACATTTGGCTATCAGGTGCACAGTCTCCAAATTGGCTACCGGAGGCTGGGTCACCAGGCCTGGCCTAAAATAAAGCCTTTGCTCCCCAAATTTCAATTTCTTGCTTCCTTGGGTTTTATTCCAGGGGTCCGAGCTATCACACCCAGATGACTGGGAAGTTCCCCCCAAAAGTCATTTTCATTCTCTTCTACCTTGTTGTGATTCTTTGATTGAGTATCTAAACTTCCTTTCCTAAGATTGTCACTTTTATTCTGTGCTTGTCCCTGTTTAGGCTGCTTGGTGCCCAGGCTTGCCAAGCAATCTCAGGCCACTGGGAATTTCATATCAGCTTTATGGCACTGACCCTATAGTGAGTCTCAACTCCTCTCAATATAGAGTATATCTTTATTTTGATGCAATCCCAGGTTTGAATACTTACTTCATGGGGGGGAGTTATAAAATGGGAAGAGAAGGCTGGGCGTGGTGTCTCACATCTATAAGCCCAGCACTCAGGAGGCTGAGGCAGGAGGATTGCTGTGAGTTCAAGACCAGCCTGGACTACAAAGTGAGTTCAAGGTCTGCCTGAACTGCATAGAGATCTTGTCTCAAAAATACAAAAAGAAATAGGAATGAGAATGTTATACCAATAACAAATATGTCTGCCCTGAATTGTGTCAAGAAAGTGATTATTGTAAATGCAATGTAATTCCTCGTTCTGCTCCAGGTGTAACTGTGCCATAGACTATGAAGGGTCCCCAAGTAGCCTTCTAACTCAGTTCCCATCTGATCTAAGTTGCCTACAGGGAGCCTGTAATCCTATAAAGTATTCCATTAAGGATCTCACCCATTAGACATGGACATCTGGTTATGGGATTGTAAAGGACATGTGAATGTAAAAAATTTTAAAACATTTAAAGTGTATAAGCCTGCCACTATATTCAAAGTTGAAAAAAGGCAGGCTCAGCCTATTTCCGTAATTAGAGAGTGAGTAGTAAAATTCAGCTAGGCTTGGCATTTCAAAGCCAGCTGCACCATACAAGTATATCTCAGACCAAAGTGCACCTTGTTACGCTAACCCATTCCAAGGTTTCAGAGAGCTATCATCCAGAGACAGCTCAGTTCAGTCTAAGACAGTGACTGATTCCTCCCACTCACCCTAGACTTGACCATTCTACTACAGGATGGAAAGCCCCCAATTATCTTGCCTGAACCAAATCTGCCTAGCAACATATGACAAGACAATATATAACCAACTAAAGAAAGTTCTCTTATCAGCCTTCTGAGTACTTCCTGCTAGTCTTTTTGTACTTCCTGTTAACAACACATGTAAGTGTTTTATTAACCCCAAGACAGGGCTGATGATTTGGAACAGAGATTTCCATCAGTCCACCATCTTAATAAAGCTATTTGCCTTCCAAGTTCTTCAGTGTTAAGAGTCATCCATCTAATTTGGTGCTGTTTTCTGGAACAAATTAAGAGGCTTTGCAGGTTATATTCATAACTCCTTGTTGTTGGCTTCTATGTCCATTGACACAGTTATCACTGTCTGATATTATTTTTTACCTTTATTGCATCAAATGCTCCAAATTTAAAAAGCAATCAAGCATTAGCTGTGTACCAAGTGGAATATTAAGCTGTGGGAATATTAAGTTTTGTGTAACAGGCACAAAAGCACACCCAGAAGACATGAGATTCCGGAGTCTGGGACATTTCTTTTGTAGAGGGAGGTGGTGGTCTCACTTGCAGCCCAGGCTGGCCTTGAACTTTGGATTCTCCTGCCTCAGCCTCTGGAGCACTTGGGCCTCAGGTGTGTGCTGTCACACTGAGTTTATGACATTTTGGAGTCAAGTGCTTTTATTCTCACGATGAAGATGAGGAGCCAGCTTTAAGATAAATGAAGCTAGGTCAGCTCTGAGATTCTGTGCTACTGCCCAGGAGACCAAAATGAGGAACGCTGGCGTCAGCGAGGTTGTAGGTGAGTATCGAGAGGAAGAGGCCCTCAGCCAGGGTCTGGTGCTAAGGAAGCCAGAGCCTTCATCCTGATTCATGTTATGTAACAACAGTCAGAGTGCGGGCTGCTGTTGTGGCTTGGAGAGCAAGTGACTTTCACCTCTGTCTGTGTGATGTCATCTGGCTCCTTTCTTGATGGAATAGTCACTGCTCTTGATAAGTTTTTGGTTTTTTTGAGACAAGGTCTGGCTAAGCTGCTAAACTGCCAAGCTGCCAAGCTGTGCTAGAACCTGCAACCCTCCTGTCTTGGTCTCCCAAGTAGCTAGATAACAAGTGGGCACTACCACGCCTGGGTTCTTGTCAAGTTTTTAGATTAGTAAAGTCAGTGGCCTTCCCCAGAAGAAAAATAAAGCAACTCACCCATCTCTGTCTCACACAGGCGACGCACAGAGTCAGTCACTATGTGGCCACAAGGCTGGAACCCAGCCGAGATCTCTGGGGTCTTGCAGAAAAGTCCCTAGGCTCGGTCTCCAGTAGCAGGGGAGGAAAAAGATTACTGCGCTTGGACCAGGTGGATTTAGAAGAGCAGGAGCCCCTCATTCCTTCTCCACCGCCGCCCCCACCTGCTCGGCTGAATGGCCGCCCCCCACCCGCAGCAGATGTCAGCCAGGCAGGGCACGCGTTTCAGGGTCACTGTCACTGGTGGCGGGGGCTGTGGGCAGCACTTGGACAGCTCCGCCTCCCAGCCGGGCCGGAGTCCACTCCTGGGATCCAGGCTTCTCCTCTAAGGCCAGATCAGCAGGGAGGCGGCGCCTCCTGAGGAGCAGCTTCCCCTTCCTGCTCCTTCCTTTGGCCGCCGGGTGACCTTTCAGGGAGGTGGTGAGCCAATAGCAGCAAAGCTCTCCTGCAATCTTTTTCTTCTTTTGCTTTTGTTTTCAAAGACGGGGGCTTGCTACATAGTCCAGGCTGCCCTCGACCTCTAGACCAAAGCCCCTGGGTGCGCGGGGTCCGTGCTCCGGCGGAGCCAGAGAGCGCAGCGCACTTCATCGCAGCAGCCGCGAGGGGGCAGTGTGGCGCCGAGGCTGTCACTGCAGCGCCGCCGCGAGGGACAGCAGTCAGTGGCCTCTTCCATACTGCGCTCAGCAGGGCTGCCACGGTTGCAGACTCTAAAGTGCTTTCCACAGCAAAATTCGTCCGGAAGCGTTTTTCACCTCCCTCCTGTTTGCTGAGTGGTGGCCAAGGCTACATAATATTCGGACAAATCTGTTTTCAATCTTCTGTGGGGTGCACGGCCTAGCAGATGTACTTCTTTGAGGTTTTTTGTTTTTTTTTGGGGGGGGGGTCTTTTGCTTTTGTTTTTGAGACAGTCTTGCTATGTAGTCCAGACTGGCTTTGAACTCAGAGGAATTCGCCTGCCTCAGCCTCCGGAGTGCAGAAGTGACAGGCATGGGCCAATATGTCTGGCACAAATTTCCAATTGTATGTTCTTTATGCCCAATGTTTGTTTCTTTGTTTGTTTGTTTGTTTTGGAGCCAAGGATCAAACTCAGCCTTGCACTTGCCAAGCAGGCACTTGTGCCACTGAATTAAGCCCCCAGTCTTTATGCCCAATTTTTCGGTTTCCCATTTCTTCTTGTTTTCTTTTTGGTACCAGGAATCAAACCCACAATCTCGCTCTTCCTAGGCTCAGCTGTACCACTGAGCTATATTCCTGGCCCTTTCCCTTTTCCCTTAATATTTTATTTTGAAACAGAATCTCCCTAATTCAGAGTAGCCCAGGCTGGGGTCAAACTCAACCCTCTTGCCTCAGCCTCCCAAGTGTTACAATTATAGGCATGCACAGTTCTGCTGGATTTGTTGTTTCCTTTTGGCTACCCGCAAATGCTGTGACTTTGGTATGTGTGTGAGCATCCTGACTTGCTCTGTCCTCTAAGGGGGGGTCCATGCCACGCTGGCTCTCCCAGGGTCAGGCCCTGGCTGCACTGAGGCTGGCCGGAAGAGGAAACGAAGTGAACACCCTGGTGCAGCCCCTGCAGAGCACACGCTCAGGCTGCAGGGTGCCCTGGCCCTCATTTCCAGCTCCCAAAATCACTGAATTTGTTTCCCACATTTTTAATAAAAGCAGAGGACTGAAGTTAGAATCGGAAACTTGGGGATTTTAATGACTTCCTCAAATTTGAACTGTTGAGAAACATAGTTATTTCTAAGAACTTTTAATATGTTCTTTCAGGAATAGCTTTTTATCTCTCAGAACTTTTCTTGGGTAAAAAGGGCGTGGATTTCTAAATATTACATATCAGGCTGGAGGAGAGAAAATCCCAAGAAAAGCCGTCCCGAGCCTCATGGGCCAGGGCTGGTGGCTGCCGACAGCCTCACGGAATTCAAAAGCTGCAGCCAGTGGAATGAAATAGAAGCCAAACATTAGCAAACCCAATGCCACTAATCTTTTACTCTACTCTTATTTATTTCATAACCATTTCTTATTATTTTGCTACAAATCTTTAAAATCTCAGAGTTTCATCAAATTACTAAATCATAAAAATGAATTACACACTGGGGGTTGAAGCACACACTTGTAATCTCAGCTCTCAGGAGTCTGAGGCAGGAGGTTGTCTTCAAGGCCACCGTTGGCTACACATTGAGACCCTGTCTCAAAAAGAAAGAGACAAGCCAGGGTGGTGGCGCATGCCTATAATTCCAGTACTGGGGAGGCCGAGGCAAGAGAATGATTGTAAGCTCAAGACCAGCCTGGGCTGCAAAGTGAGCTCAAGTCCAGTCTGAACTGCATAGCAAGACACTTTCAAAAAAACAAAACAAAATGAACAAATAAAAGAACAACAACAACAAACAAAGAAAAGCAGAAATTACTTCATAATTTAGTCTAATTTTGGATTGCACAGGTACAATGAGCTGGCTAGACAAGCAGACTTGTATGAGCCAGGACAGAGATGTAGCTGTGGAGGCCACTGACAGCAGCATGAGCTTTCATGGAACTCTGAACTCAGTCCTTGCAGTTTTTAGACCAAGGTGCACACTGCATGGGTATGGACAGTGCTGCCATGGTGTCACAGCACAGGAGGGACCCAACTTGGATACAGGCCCAGCTGATCAATGCTCAGATTCATGAGTTTATTAATATGATCACTTTTCTACTTGTTTTAAATAAAGCTATGTGTGGTGATACACACCTGTAATCCCAGCACTCCAGAGGCTGAGGCAGGAGGACCACTAGGTAAAGTCCAACCTGGGCTACAAAGTGAGACTCTGTCTTTCAAAACACCTCAAAACATCCTTGAAAAAAAGCTGTAAGCAAAAAGAAAGTCAAATCCCTTCTGCCTAGCACTCTGAAAGTCTGATTTCCTCTCCACTTGGTCTCTTCCGAAGACCTGGGCTCACAGAAGCAGCCAGACCAACCTGGTGAACAAAGCCCAGAACCACCCAGCAGGGTTGACCTTGCGGGAAAGAAGAACAGAAGTGGAGAGAGAGGGGGAACAAGGGAAAGAGGAGAGGGACGGGAGGAAGAGAAGAGCAACAGGGCCGCAAGCAGGGCCCAGTCAGCAGCCCCTGAAGGCCATGCTGGGCGGCTGCCCATTGCTGCCCAACAGCCAGGCGCCGTCCCTCCAGTTCAATGTGACTGCCTGGCAGGTGAGTGCTGAGGTGTCCTGGGCCCCCCAGCTTCCAGCTCTGTTCTCTTGTTCATCTCACCACCGTATTTTTTTTCAGGTTCATAAATGGTTTTGTACAGAGAGATGAAATACAATAACGAAATGTCCACTCAGAAGCACAGCAAAAGATGCCAAGAAGCACAGGAAACATTCTACATCAACCATTATGAATAGGAGATGGGAAGGAAGCTGAGGGGCCATGTCCACTCTGGGGACATTTGTATTTCCAGAGCTACTGATTTTTTCACAAAAAAGTTTTCAGTAGTGAGGACTGAACTCAGGCCTTTGTAGTGAGTGACACCCCACCCCTTGTTAACAGAATTAATTTTGACTTAGGGTCTCACTAAGTCACCAGTTGCTCAGGCTGGGCTTGAACTTGTGATCCTCCTACTTCAGCCTCTGGTATGCACCAGCATACCTGGCTTGTTCTTGTTCATTTTGTTTGCAGTGCTGGGGATCAAACATTGGGCCTCTTCTATGCTGGGCAAATGTTGTAGCACTGTATACCCTATATATACCCCTGGCTCTCAGATATTTTTTTGAGATAGGGTCTCACTATGCGATTCAAACTGGCCTTGAACCCAGTATGGAGCCCAGGCTGGCTTCGACACAAACTCATGGTAATCCTCTTGCCTCAGCCTCCTAAGGGTTGGGATTAAAGATTTTTATTGATTATACTAGTAGCTTCTTTCTTTCTTTTCCTGTTTTTGGCTTTTTGAGACAGGGTCTCTTTATGTAGTTCAGTTTAGCCTCAAACTCACAGCAATCTTTCTGCCTCAGCCTCCCTAGTGCTGGGATTACAGACCCCTTGTCCAATAACAGAGCCAATAGCACTAGACCTTTTAAATAGCACTAGACTTGTATAGAATTGTCATATTTATGTGTATTTATGTACAAATTTTTAATAGATAATGTTACTTAAAGAACCTTAAACTGAATGTGCCAGTTATGAATGGGGTGGGGGAAGAACACTAAACTCCGGTGCCCCAGGGCCCCAGGTGAGAGCACAGGGAAGGCCCCGGAAGGGAGGCCCAAGTGCTTTCACTGACCTCATAGACTGCAGCTCAGCAGCCCTGGACTGAGCAACACTTACCTGAGAAGACACAGGGACATTAATTTCAATTGTTTATTACTGAAATACTAGGGATTGAACCCAGGGCCTTTACACTGAGCTACATCCCCAGCCCTTTTTATGAGACGGAGCCTCACTAAATTGCTAAATTGCCCATGCTGGACTGGAATTTGTGGTCCTCCTGCTTCAGCCTCCCAGCAGTTTCAATCGTGTGTCCAGTTGCTCCTGGGACCTGGCCCTAGGCATTTCACCACACATACCTTTGTGTGGCAGTTAAAAGAGTCCTGTCCCCCACCCAGGACAGACGGCAGGTGCTTGATCAGTGTCTTGATTTCAGAGCCCCATGCCACATCAGGGCAGGACCAGAAACGGTGTCCCTCCCACCACCTCACCTTTAACTTTCGATGTTCCGGGCAGGGCTGAGCCCAGAGCCGGCTGCAGGGACCCCAGGGCTCCATGTAGAGGGGCTGAACAGGGCGGGAGGGCACCGGCTTGGCCGCGGAGGTGAACTGTACCTGGCCGAGAGAACTCCTGACACTGCTTCTATCCAGTGAATCTGAAATGTTTATAATGGACACGTTGATTTCGTGAAGGAAAAGAATCGGTAAAGAAGTTAGCACCCTCCACGGGAATGAATCAGGCTGGACAGTTGGATGGACGGGAGCCCACGATGCTGGCGGGGCCTGTAGAATGACTGACCGCTCTACACAGTAAGAGAAACTGCAGAAAACGGCAGACAAAGAAACTTCATATCAGTTTTCTTCTAATATTCTATGTACTCCCCAATTGTATCAAAGAGTTTTTGAATTTTTATTCATCCTCTTTTTTCTGAGACAAGGTCTCACTATGTAGTTCTGCCTGATCATGAACTCCTGCCTCAGGATTCCAGGGATTCCAGATGTGTACCATCACACCTGGCTGTTATTTATTTTTGTACCATGGACTGCATTTAGGACTTTCACACTAAGCTATAACCCCAGCACTGCTCCCACCTTTTAAAAAAAAATGATACTGGGTTTTACCAGGTCCCTGAATTACCTAGGCTGGGCTTGAATTTGCAGTCCTTCTGATTCAGCCTCCTGAGTAGCTGGTGCAAGGCTTCTGCCCTAGGATAAATTACTGAGTATTATGGTGGTGGTCTAACACGGTGGAAGGCCAATGACCTCCTCCTCCTCCTCCTTTCCCCTTCAGCCCTAACTGCAACTTCCTCTTTCCTTTCACATGCATGAAGAAAATTTCAGTCAGTTCCTCATTCATCAGCAGTGCCAACCCCAAACTACGCCTCTGGTCAGAGGTTATATAATCTTCTTCCTCATTTTTGTCCGGCCAGAGGAGAGGCCCAGCCCCTTGAGTTGTACACTCCTCTCCACATCTTCAGTAAAGGCCTCTTTTCCATGATTTTTGTCTCTCTATTGTGCTGGAAAACCTAACAGCTGGGATTACAGGTGTGTGCTACTGTGCCTGGTGATTTTAACTGTTTACTAGTTTCAAGATGTCTCTGTGCCAGGAAGGTTGGATGTGTTGACAAA